GACCTTGTGGCTGCCTATAAGTTCATCACGGGGGCACAGAAGGGAATTGGTGAGTATTTATTCACCAAGGCGCCCCCAGGGATTACAAGAAATAATGGCCACAAGCTAGCAGAGAGCAGATTTAGATTGGACATTAGGAAGAACTTCTTCACAGTTAGAGTGGCCAGGGTCTGGAACGGGCTCCCAAGGGAGGTGGTGCTCTCCCCTACCCTGGGGGTCTTCAAGAGGAGGTTAGATGAGTATCTAGCTGGGGTCATCTAGACCCAGCAATCTTTCCTGCTTATGCAGGGGGTCGGACTCGATGATCTATTGAGGTCCCTTCCGACCCTAACATCTATGAATCTATGAATCTATGAACATGGCTCTTGCTTTGTTTGTGAATCAGTCTTGAGTTCTGTGAATATATTAGCCCCTCACAGAGATTGGCCAAATAGTTTGGAAGAACCCACTTGCAAGCAACTGCTCCTGCTTTCAGTTCTTTCAATAAGCTAAAGTAATCAGGCCCTTCTGGGCTCACAATGAACTCCAGAAAACCCATGACATATGGGAGCATGGTTACTATCAAGGTGACTGTGTGGAAAGGACATCTGATCACTAGCTTTTTTGTCAATACCACAGACTTCAGGCAGTGAAACCTGCTGCCAGCTCATGTGGGAGATGCAGTGAGCCACATTTTGCTGGAACAATTGTCCTATGAGCACTTCCCCTGCTGTTCAACAGCAGATGTCCGCATAAGGGATGGTGGCATAAGGAGTGCACTTGCAGAGATGCTCAGGGAGCTGTTACATGATCTAGTCACTAGGGGATGATAAAAAGCCACATTACATAGACCTGAGTTACTCCAGGTATATTTTTTAGTATATAATTTAGTTCCCAGGCAAAAGGCAACATTAAAACAGAACGAAGTCCAAGAACAGGTATCAGTAACTTCACAGCAAAAACGTTTCTGGGATGTTGTAATTGTTTTATACCCAGGATCTATACACCAGGAAGGCCGATTTTAACTTCAGGAAGGCCAATTTAGACTCCCCCCCGCCTGAGGTGGTGCAAGCACCTACTCTGGACTCCTTCAAAAACAGCTGGATTTATTTCTTGCTGGGGCCACTTGATCCCAGCTGACTTCCCGTCTATGGTGGGGGGACTGGACCAAATGATCTCATGAGGTCCCTTCCAGCCCCTAATGTCTATGAAATCTATGAACCCAGTAAATTTGGCTTTCAAGCTGTACATCAGAGAAATCTAAATGTGTTAAAAAGACAACAGCTAAGGCAACCAAACACCTTAACTCTGCCCATAGGGGCACAATGAGAAAAAAAGTAGAAAACAATCTAATGTGTTTCTGAATATGCTTTTAATCTAATCTAGGACCATAACATTAAAGAGTCATCCTCCTAATTGCACGGTGATGACAGAGCTTCACAATCCCTTTGGGGCGTTTATCTCCTCTTGCACAATAAGCATAGTGTGCAGATTTGTGCAGATTGCACCAAGGCACTCAAAGTTCTTTGATTGTCCAGCCACCGGTCTCAGCAGAGCACAAGCACAGACAGTGTCTGGATACTCCACCCAATATTTCTACTATTTTTATAGAGGATCACAGAGATCTTTACATTGCTTCTTGCAATTTGCTTTTCTACATCTCATCATCTCCAGCCCCATCCTGAGTCTTGTCTAATTTGTTATGAAGTATGAGTTCATGAAATGGGCTCTTGCATGTTTGTGAAGAACTAGCCTCCCCAAAGCCAAGACAAACTAATTCACAGGGAAGCCTTGTGGAAATGCTTGGCTCTTCTGTCCTGACCACAGCAAATGGTGTTCTGTAGCCACTGGGTGCCACTTTGGAGAATGGGTTCTCTTGTTCACTCTGCCTGGCAGCTTTCTACCATCTCTCATCACTTTGACTTTTCATAAGAATATAGGAAGTGCCGCCCTGGGCAGTGCTGGATTTAGGTTTAAGCCACTTAAGCTACAGTTTAGGGTCTCACAATATGGGGGGCCTCTAAATAAGAAAAAAGACTGGATATCTTCATTCTAATATGAAAACAATATACATAGATATGGCTCCACAGTTATCATTCATATTGAGTTCATAAATTTGTGCAGAAATAACAATTCATTTTAAAATGTCATGAAAATCCATTTTGTGGATTATTTTTATCATATGGGGCCTCTTAAACTAGACATAGTTTAAGGCCTCAGCATGTCATAATCCGGCACTGACCCTGGGTCAAAACAATGGTCTATCTAGCCCAGTAGTCTATCTCTGAAGGGGGAAGTAATAAGTGTTTTAGAAGGACAGCATATGAACAGGACATGTCTAAAATGAGCCTTCCCCTGTCATACCTTCTCTGGCATCAACTATCATTGGATTTGGGATGTCAGAGGATAACATCGCTTATGTTCTATTTAATAGCTTTCTTAGGGTCCAGCTCCTCCTTGCTCACAGGTCACCAGCTAACAGTTCTGCAGGGGGAGCATAAAACTCTCTCGTACACTGGCAGGGGCCTTAATTTAATTCCTTTTTGAAGGGAGGAAAGGAGAATTGTCCAGTATGGCTGGAAGATGTAGGGGTTCAGCACAACTCTAGCAGATTCAACCAAGGCCTCAACTTGGTCTGTTGACCCCCTCAAACCATAATCTAGCATACCCAGGGGTCTCCTGCTCCTGCATCAGCCCTCTGTCCAAACTCCCAGATACACCTCCCCAATCATCTCCCTGAGGCACAATCGGAGCAAATCACAGAACCCACATTCCCAGTGCCAGGATAATCCCAAATGCTATTGGAGCTGGCACCATCCTTGCTGCTCTCAGCAATGGGATAGTGAGGGATAATTGTCACAGTTCCCTGTTTGCTCCCTGACTCATGCTACATGCACATACACATTCCTGTTTGGTGCACAAGGCCTCATCTCACTCCAGCAACTTTTCTGGGTTCCTCTTCTTTCCCCCTATGTTGCCGATTAAATCTCTTCTTTTTGGTGCTTAATTTTCCCTCTCCTCTCACTCCCTGTGTAGCCCTGGTTGTCTCGATGGACATGAGACTATGCACCCAGATCCCACCAGGCTGAGTTGTTGGGTTCCCTCCAGAAAGAGGCTTCATCTCTTGCCCAGATGACACACCAGTTTTGTGCTGAAGGGCTGCCTTCCCAATGCAGAGCTGGGATACTCTGCTTGTTTCCCACATCAAAGAGAGGCAGTGTTTGACTGCCTCCACTTGATGCTAGTCCTTTGCTGGAAGGCAGTGTGGAAGAGTTATTTCCACACTCCTGTCTGTCACAGAACATTAGCATTAGCATTTGGAAGAGTGCTCAGCCCAGGTGCTGCTTCATCTCTGTTCTTCACCACGTACACCTCTCTTTCTCCTCTGTTTTGTCTCTTGCCCCATCCCTCCTCTGCTCCTCTCTCTCCTTTTCACCCCTCTGTAGTCAAGTCAGGTATCTTCCTCCTTTGCCTCCATGCTAGCGGCAGGATCACTGAAAATTAGAGAGACCAACCATCAGGCAACTAACTCTGACCCCCAAGGAACAGCACCCCATGAACGCAGCCCATAGCTGCCTACCAAGCTAGATGCAGTTTAGCCAACATCAGACAGTGCCAGGCTGGTGTGCTACGGCCTCTCAATAGCATGCTTCCTGGATTCCCATTCCCAGGTGTCCTTGGGGCACTGAGACAGGCCCAAAATGTAGGGCTGTTCCAGAAAATTAAATTGGGTCACTTTACTGGGAACACAGGAGAGAGGATCTCTTTGCTGTCAGTTCTGGTGCTTACTGCCACAGCAACTCCTAACAGGTAGGAGCAGGAACTGCAAGGGAAGTCCTGCTGTCTCAGGACAGAGCATGTTCAGTCACCCTGTGGGAGCAGTGTGCTCAGCACACATGGGCTGTAGAGGATGGAGCACACCCAGGACAGACATAATCTGTGCAGAGTTTAGCAGGCAGCTTCCAACAAACCCTTGCTTAGCTTATGCAAAGGGCCATTTTTCAGATATTTGTAACTTGGCCAAATTTGGATGGGGACATCCCTGACACCAGCATTATCCACCTGCCACATCCCATGTCCCTATTCCCAGGCAGGGAGGCACTGGAGCATCTCAATTAAACTACTAAAAGGTAACCTTTAATGTTGGCAAACCATGTATTTCTCTCCTCAGTTCATTCTCAGGAACATCTCAACCATTCTTACTCTTCCAAAATCAAAAAGCATGAACCAGACACTTCCCATTGTCACAAACTTGGCAAACCTGAAAGCTACAGATAATGGATAGTGTTGGGTAAACATACACACAACAGTGCTCCCAACCCCAAATTAGGGGGAGGAGGCAGCACCATGTTCTCTCTCAGGAGGTGACAAATGTATCAGAGCATGATTTGGGAAGTACAGGCCTACCAATGTCCCCAGAGGACAAGTCTCATTTAAACCCCTTAGATCAGAACATAAGGCTTTGACCTCTAGAAGCCAACACCAGACTCAGCTGGCTGGGAGTCTTTGCATCACCTCTTCCTGGCACTGCATCAAGCAGTGTATCGGGAGGTGGGGAGTAGGGCACATGGAATGGTGCTCCCCTCCCTGCAGATGCGGTGTTTAGTGTGGCCCGGGGCAGGGCAGCACAGGATTTCCTCCACTGCTACAAAGTGGGGGAGGGATGGGGAGCACCACCAAAATTCCCCTCACCAGGAGTCTTTGTGTGGCAAGGCAGCACCCAGGGTGGGAGCCCTGTTCACCCTGCTTTCTTTATGCAACTGCATCCTGGGAGAAAGCTCTGGGAGCTTATGCTACTAATTGGAACCACACAGCAATGTGACATCCTGGGATGTCACATCCCAGTGTTTGGGAAGGAGGACAGGAGTACATGCATGTTTTTCTCTTACAGGCAACTCCTCCATATTGAATAAGACACTGCTTCCAGACCCTGACAGCCTTGGGGAGGTGAGGACCATTCTCTTCTGCCATTAAGGGAAAGCAAAGGTCTAGAAGTGTGCATGCTCTGCGGTGGTGACTGGAGCAGGAGCTCTCTGTGCTCCTGGGACAGAGCCAGGGTCTCTGTATCCCTCCAAGGAGCAGGAAGTCTCACTGATCAGCCATCAAAGTGGTAGAGGTGAAACCAGGCCTTTGACCTGAGGAAACCAACTGCTGTACTTATGGATGGCCCTGCCCCACTTAGGAGCATCCACAGGATTTATGACCTGCATCCTATCTCTGAGTCTGGGCTCCAAGGATACTGGTACCAATGCCACAAAGTTCCTTCCCTGCAGCAGGAGGGGTAGTCCTTTCAGAGCTGTGTCTTGGCAGCTTCCAGCTCAAAGAGACACCTGGCACTGGCAGGTGTTCATCCCTGATGTGTCTGTGACCCCTTTGAGCCTTTCATGTGGGCATGTGTCCACATGGTACCATCAGTTCAGCCCATGGCTGAACAAGGCCCATACTAGTTCTGCCATAGCCCACTTCTGTAATGGTGTGGGTCAGTGTGCTGAGTGTGGGATGGACCACCAGACACACAAACAGGCAAGCATCCAGTGTTAGCAGCCTCTGTTACCAGCACTAGGCAGTTCCAGTGACGCTTTCCTCCCCACCCCGCTCTAGAGCGATCACTCTTCCAAGCTCTGGACAATCTGCCCCATCCTTTGCTCGGGGCTGCAGCATGCCTACCTATGGTAATCTGACAGTGTTTCACTCTGGTGCTTCTGATCCATCTGCTCTGGGCAGAGGGATGCTGTTCTTGAACGAGCAGGCTTTCCTCTTTGCCTGAAATATTTCTCTGTTTCTCCACAGTACTGGGGTCTGGAGCCTGCAAACAGGTCCCAGCTGAGGAAGAAGGAATGTTTGCAACTAGGGGGCCACCTGGTGGGCACCAGTTGTAACTATGTGCCTGACATCACATTTATGTCCTTTGTCTTGTTCCTGGGGACGTTCCTCTGCTCCATGACCCTCAAGCGCTTTAAATTGAGCCGCTATTTCCCCACAGCTGTGAGTATTCCTCTTCCCTCCCCATGCACTGACAGTTTCTGCAGCTTTAGGAGGAAGTTTAGCTGCCTCTCCTGTCTGAGCTTTGTACATGATCCTTACAATGTCCTTTCCAGACCTACTTTCCTATGATCCTATGATGATGGCCTTGTGTAGATAGAAAGCCCTCACAGAGCTCCAGCAGGTGCTGTATATGCAGACCTCGCTCTGAAAGCCCAAGAAATATCCCTGAAAACAGGAATATTGCTTAAAATATTATAACATTTTACAGCTATTCAGTCCAGCAAAGTCTGATGTCCCATGGATGGCAGAGGTTGTTGGGAAACCCATGGGAAGTTGTGCTCTCTCCTGGAAATGTGTATCTAAAATGCCATTAAATACATACATAGTGCCTCTCCCTGACAGAATTTATAGTAGTTATAAGGAGGGGAAGCATCTTTAGTCCCACTTTACCTTGAGGAAACTGAGGCACAGAGCAGGTATATAGTCATATTTTCAAATGGGCTTGCTCCCTTTGGGAGTTCAGGGGAATGCATTTAGGGGGATCAAGGTGGACTCTCAACAACTGAGGAACCTAAAAGTAGTGGCCACTTCTGAATGATAAGCATACATGTTATGGCCTAGGCCACAGTGCAAATGAATGGCAGCACTAAGAATAGAGTTTAGACCCAGTTCTGAATGGCACCCAACACATGATGAACAACGTTCAGAAAACCCCTTCCCTTTCCAGCACTCACAAGACAAGAAACAAGTATACCTGAGCTCACCGTGGCTCACATGATGTGGCTTTACAGTTTCACTCACCAGCAGAAATATTAACTCTTATGTAGAAGTCAGTAGTTGTGATCAGTGGGCTATCCTGATTTTTAAAGGATTATCTGTTATAGCGGCAGAGATTGCAGGGTCAGTGCTTACCATCCACCATACTTTTTTCTATGCTCTCCAAAAAGTGGGAAGAGAGCCAGGAGACCTGCCTGGCTCACCAGCAATATTAGGGAGCTACTGAAAAAGAAAAAAGAAGTATATATGCAATGATGATACCAAGCTGTGGGGAAATCCAGGCACACCAGAAGATAGGGCAGAGATCCAGGAGGACCTTGACAGACTGGATTTATGGGCAGAATGAAATCAGATGAGGTTTATCAGGGAGAAGTGCAAGGTCCTTCCCGTGGGTAGGAAGAATTCTCACCACAACTATACAATGGGTGGTGGCCTACTGGCTGGCACAACAGCTAAATGAGACCTGGGGGTCATGATCGACTGGAAGATGAATGACCCAACGGTGTGATGAGGCTGCCAAAAGGTCCAATAAAACTCTGGCGTACATCAGCTACTGTGTGGCCGACAGATCTAGAGAGGTACTCTTGCCTCTCTATTCAGTGTTGGTGAGGCCTCAGCTGGAGTACTATCCCAGTTCTGGGCACCACACTTCAAGAAGGACATGGATAAGCTCAAAAGGGTGCAAAGAAATGCCACCCATTTGATTAAGGACATGGAGGGTAGGCCCTATGAGGAGAGGCTCCAGGAACTGGGCCTGTTCAGCCTGAGGAAGGGAAAGCTGAGGGGTGACTTGATAGCTGCCTACAGGTACCTCGGGGGGAGCATCAAGAGCTAGTAGAGCAACTATTCAGGAGGGCACCTCAAGGGAGGACGAAGACCAATGGGCATAAACTAATAGAGGGTAAATTCAGGTTAGATATAAGAAAAAACTTCTTCTCTGTAAGGGTCACCAGAATCTGGAACACACTCCTAGCAGAGGTGGTGTAGTTGCCCTCCTTGGAGGTGTTCAAGACGAGGCTGGACAGGCGCCTTGCTGAGCTCATCTAAGTCCAATACTTCCTGCCCATGGTAGGGGACCGGACTTGATGATCATACTGGTCCCTTCCAGTCATTTGATTCTGTGATTCTAAGCATGTTTAGCGTAGAGCATTCTACACGCAGTGCAAGCACTGCTGATAGGGGGCACTCAAAATGCTTTTTTACTTTATCCCAAGTTCTCTCCATTACACACAGTGGCTGGCAACCTTCCAGAGCCCTGGGCTGGAACATCCTGGCTCCAGTCTGACACAGGCCAGATGTTGCCAGCCCCTGCACTGCAGGAATAGAAGTGGTTAGTGTGAAGTCAGGCAGAAGGCAGAATAGAATTGCACATTATAAACTAACTGCGTCAGAGATGTATAAGCTTTTGTAAGCAACAGCTTACTTAATCTGATGCTATGGATGGCAGTCCCTTCATAGCATTTAATGAAGCAAGCTGTTGTTTATGAAAACTTATGCATCTCTGATTTAGTCAGTCTATAAGATGCAACACTACAGGAAGAGGCTTAGAGTATGGGAAAGAGGAAGGATATTGTCATGGCTTCATTGTATGGCTGCTTTTCAGTGCAATGTGTTCTCAGGGGAGAACATCAGCATATATGGGTTGTACACACAGTTCTTCTTCTGTTCCCTGAATACACAGCAGCTAACTACTTCTAAAGCCCCTACTGACCAACTACCAGCTCTGTATATGTCAGTCATGGGCCATTTCTGCTAACTCCCCCAACTTCTTTCTTTGATCTATTAGCTGAGGAAGCTGGTGAGTGACTTCTCCATCATCCTGGCCATTCTCATCTTCTGTGGAATCGATGCTTGTCTTGGATTAGAGACTCCCAAGCTCATTGTCCCCATTGAGTTCAAGGTGAGAACTGAAAGCATAGTGGGGCTGCAGAAGGTAGAGAGGGTACATGAGAAGGATTGCTAGAGTGGAAGGGGATGTCTAGGGACTTGGGGGTGGGAGCAGGAGTGCTGGAAGATTAACTTGTGTAGTGATAATGGCTGAGAGTGGGAAAAAAGCCTATGCAGTGAGAAATGCCTATTGGATCTTGATGTAGCTTTTCCCTTGGACTTTCTGCTGAGACCTTGGAGACAAGGCTCATTTTCATATTTAATTCTGGGGTGAAACCTGTTCATGCAAACTAGATGCAGCCTTGAGCTCCCATTAAGTTTCTGCCTCATCCCTCAAGTGGACAAGATCTGAGATCCCCTGTTCCTGTTGGAAACACTCTTGCTCAGTAGGTGCCATGGCTGGAGGGGATATAGCTGAATCACTGTCTAAGGCTCTGTTGCTGAGGACCTACAAGGACATGACCAATAAGGCACCCAACATGCTGTCCACACAATGTGGCAGGAGTCATTCAGCAGCTAACATAATCCTGAGACATTTTCAGTTGGGATATTTTCAGTGCAAAGTGTACGTTATCCTGGGATGACCGACTTCTCATCACCTAATCTTTCCATTTTAAGGAGGGGGCCTCATAGTGTTCATCTCTGTGTCAGTCTGGGGCCCTACCCTTTTCTCCATAATTTGGAGGGGTCCTGGAATAAGAGCTGTTGTAAGGCCTGCCATTCTTCTGACCTCTCCCCTTGGTCTCTTCCCCCATCCTGAAAAAGAACAAACAACCCTTTAATCTGTTCAGCAAGCTAACCACTGTAGCTGGTGCCTAAATGAAGACGTTGTCTGCATTGTAGATGGAGCCAACTTGCCATCAGGACTTGAAGGCTTGTCAGGACTTACCTGCAAACAGCCTGGGAATCAGGCAGCTCTGATCATAAAGAGGAGCTTTAGAGACAGGGAGGCCTTTGCCTGAACTCACCTGCCAGAGAGCCACTTCAGAGGGGTTCCCTGCCTACTGTGGGTGTAACTACCATAAGATCCGCCTTTCCCAAGGGGGAGACAGGCATCCCAGGTTCTAAGGTCATAAACCTCCTCCAGAATTGTTTAACCCATTGCGGAGGCCATGAAGAAAAGAAAGAAACAAGGAACTGATACAAAATCTTCTTCTGGAGAGAGAGTATCTTTCCCGGAGGAGCACTGAGTGAGCTCATTCACAGGCAGCTCAACTTGAGCATCTCAGGAGTAGGAGGCAGAATGTTCATCTTGGAGACTGAAGTCTTCACTAAGCATCAGAACAGCACAAGCAGTGACAAGGTAATATTTCCTCAGTTTCCTCAACCCTGCCCTAGAGTGAGACACAAGCTCTGTTTCTATGGTCTGGTTAGTTCTGTTCCTG